TTAGCCTTGCTAATGGTTTGTCAATTTTATCTTTTCAAAAAACCAACTTTTTGTTTCATTGATCTGTTGTGTCATTCTTTGCATTTCTATTTCATTTCGTTCTACTCTGATCTTCATTATTTCTTTCCGTCTACTAACTTTGGGTTTGGATTGTTCTTGCTTTTCTAATTCTTTAAGGTAAAGTGTTAGGTTGTTTACTTGCCTTCTTTCCATTCTTCTGAAGTAAGCATTTAGTGCAATAAATTTCCCCCTTAGTACTGCTTTTGCAGTATCCTACAGGTTTTGGTATGATGTGTCATTATCTTCACTAGTTTCAATAAATTTTTTGATGTTTTGTTTAATTTCTTCTTGGACCCATATGTCATTAAGTAGAACAATTTTTACTTTCCATGTATTTGTATAGTTTCCAGAGTTTTGTTTGTTATTGGTTTCTAATTTTAATCCACTGTGGTCTGAAAAAATACATAAAATAATTCCAACTTTTTTGAATTTGTTGAGACTTGATTTGTGACCTAACATCCTGGAGAATGTTCCATGTGCTGAAGAGAAGAATGAATATTCTGATGTTGTTGGATGAAATGTTCTCTGTATATATCGGCCAAGTCCAATTGGTCTAAAGTGTTATTTAGGTCTTGTGTTTCTCTGTTGATTTTTTGCCTAGATGATCTGTCCAGTGTGGAGAGTGGGGAGTTCAGATCCCCAACTATTATGGTATCAGTGTCCATTTCTTTCTTTAGGTCTGTAAATATGCCTGCTCCAATGTTGGGTACATAAATATTTATGATTGTTATGTCTTCTTGTTGGATATATCCTTTTATCATTATACAGTGGCCTTCTTAATCTTTTTCATGTTTTTTAGTTTAAAGTCTATTTTATCTGATATAAGAATAGCTACTACAGCTATTTTTTCATTTCTAATTGCATGGTATATCGTTATCCATCCTTTCACTCTTAGTCTATGTGTGTCTTTACAGGTGAGGTGGGTCTCTTGAAAGCATCATATTGTTGGGTCCACCTTTTAAATCCAATCAGTCAGTCTGTGTCTTTTGAGTGGAGAATTGTTATATTAACAATTATTATTGAAAGGTATTGATTTACTCCTGGCATTATATTGATTTCTGTTTGGATGTTTTAAATATCTTTTGTTCCTTTNTTGAAAGGTATTGATTTACTCCTGGCATTATATTGATTTCTGTTTGGATGTTTTAAATATCTTTTGTTCCTTTCTTTCTGATTTACTGATTGTTTTCTCCACTATCCCAAGAAATTGTCTTCTCTGTTTGTTGGTTTCCTGGGATAGTGGATAAACTTTTCTTTTTCTCTTTATTGTTGACATTTTATTTTAATGATGGGTTTTGTTCTATCTTGAGTATTCATGGTAATGGTGGTTGTTTTTCAGGTACCAGACCCAGTACTCCCTTGAGAATTTCTTGTTAGGCTGGTCGTGTGGTAGCAAACTCCCACAGGTTTTGCTTGTCTAGGAAATACACTATTTGTCCTTCATTTCAGAAGGATAGCCTTGCTGGGTAAAGTATTCTTGGCTGGCAATTTTTGTCTTTTAGTATTTTTAATATATCATCCCATTCTCTTCTAGCTTTTAGGGTTTCTGATGAGAAGTCTGATGTTAGTCTGATAGGGGTTCCCTTATATGTGACTTGACACTTCTCTCTTGCAGCTTTTAAGATTCTCTGTCTTTGGGTTTTGCCAATTCAACTATAACATGTCTTTGAGAGGACCTTTTTAGGTTGAATATGTTGGGAGATCTTTGAGCTTCCTGTACCTGAAGATCCGTATCTCTCCCTATACCTGTGAAGTTTTCTGCTATTATTTTGTCGAATATGTTTTCAATGCCATTTCCTTTTCCTTCCCCTCTGGAATACCCATGATTCGGATATTGGAGTGCTTGAGGTTGTTTATTTTCTCTCTTAGATTTTCTTCAAGTTTTTAAATTCTTTTTTCTTTTTTTTGTCCCCTGTGTTATTTTTAACAAGCCATCTTCAAGGTCAGATATTCTCTCTTCTGCTTGATCTAGCCTACTGGTTAAGCTTTCTGTTGTGTTCTTTATTTTGTTGAATGAATCCTTCAGCTCCACAAGCTCTACTACATTCTTTTTCAGGGCAT